TTTTCTCCACTTTCATGTTTTTTCTTTTCTTTTTGCTATGCTTGTTAAGGTGGGGTGAGTTGATACCAGCCAAATTGCCAACTCAAAAGCTAATAAGTTCGTTTATAGGAAAAACACTGGAGAAATAAGGAGGAGCGGGCATGGGGCGGCGCCGAGAGCATAGTCACCTTCAAAGCCAACTTGATTCGGACCTCTTCTACATATATATTCACAACAAATTCTTTTTCCTGTATTTATACTCTTATACACTCATTTGTTTTCTTTTATCAATCTCTTATTCTCTTTTCTTCTTTGCTTACTACTGTCAACACCAGTTTCATCTCCACCTCAACCAACACTATAATTTTCTGGTTGAAACTTTAATCACCACAACAAATCATGAGACCACGGTATATCAATCATCCACTTCTTTGCACTCATATGTACATTTACATATACCTAGAGTGTGTGTGTGTGTGTTTGTGTGTCTGTGCAGTGCAGTCATTATGTGCATATATATATATATATATATATGAGGGTATGGATTGTTTTGCATGCCTGGCTCCCTGTATGCCATCTGCAAAGCGCCCATCAGGAGTGGTGGCCTTGGTGGATGGCGTGCGAGGAGCCATGCATGCCTATTTGAGTGTTCATGTCAACCAACAGGCTAAGGGAGTTAGGACCAGGCCTGCATGTCATGCAATGTCTTCTCAGTGTCAAAGGCACTCTTGTTTTTGTTCTTTTCTTCCTGTTCTAAATGTCAAAGCGAGAAATAAAGTAATCTGCTTTCACAGTTTCATGTGAAATGATCAAAGGTAAAGTAAAAGTTTTTCCTCTCTTCTATCTTTAACTTCCTATTTTTTCCTCTGTTCATAAGCAGAACTACATAAATTCTGTTGCATTTTCTACAACAAAACACTTTTGTTGCTCAGCAACTGTAGAGTTCTATGGTTCCATTCTTTGGCTGAACTAAAAACTCAGTATGAATATAGATTTATGGTAAGATATCTGATGCCAGTTTATCTTTGTGGAGTCTGGCCATAAATTAAATTTCTTCATGGCTCTTTTTTCGTCTTGCTGCAGAGGGGATATCATAACTTGGCTCCTACATCAATCTTTCAAACTTTCACTGCCTCTCTTTCTAAGGTATAATTTACATCAGATATTATACAAAGATGCATAGCTTTCTATGTTGAAACTCATCAATAATTTTGAGTTTTTATAGCCAACTAATCATTCTACAAGTTCCTGCTTCAAACAAAAACAATGACATTGCACCCAACAATTGAAAAATGCTTTCTGTTGACAGATTTACAGTTTTTCTTTGCCAGAGTAAATCCTATTTAATCAATATTTTCATGGAATTTTTACATTTCCCCCCAAGAAAATGTTTCTTGAACCCGCGAGGAAAAAAAGTGTGTAAACTAAAACTGTGAAACTTAATGCTCCCATAAATCACATATCTTTCTTGTATCCTTTACAAAAGAAAAGAAAAAAAGAAGAAAAAACAAAAACGAGCAGTGTAACTCAAAAATATGTACTACTGTGGGGACTATGCGTACTTTCAAGGCTCGTGCCTTTGGAGCTCTCGTAGAAGTCCTTGTGATCAAGTTTGATGTCCATAAGATCAGCAACAAGACCAGGATGGGAAATCTGAACATCTCCAATGTCAGTTTCATGTGTCAACATTTGAACGACCACAGACATTTGAGGCCTGCGCTTGGCTGTTTCTTGAACACAAAGCAATCCGACCTTCAAGAACAAGACCGCTTCTTCTTCAGGGTAGTTTGTTCCAAGTGCAGAATCCACTAATTCTACAAGATTGTTAGCGTTGTAAGCATCCCATGCCTGCATTTTCACATATAAAAAAGGCTTGCTTCAACTCCATAACTGAATCCAAAAAGAAAAAATTAAGATTCAAAACCCCCAAAACCATACCTTTTGGACCAAGTAATTTTCTCCATGTTCTAAATCGAAGGCAACAACTTCCTTGCCACTGATTATTTCCAACAGTAGCACTCCAAAGCTGTAAACATCGGACTTTCTTGTTAAACGCCCGCTCATTGCATACTCAGGAGCAAGATAACCTCTTTTGAAGTTGCCAATGCAAGAAATTTCATTAGCTGCTGGATTTCCAGTAGATATTATCCAAAATACAGAGTTATGGCAGATTGTTGAGAAGAATTAGTGATTCCACTTACAATGTCCCAGCAACCCGTGTACTAACGTGGGACTTATTATCCCTCAGTAGCTTTGACAGGCCAAAATCTGAGACTTTTGGGGTGAAATTCTCATCAAGAAGGATGTTGCCTGCCTTAATATCTCTATGCACAATGTGGGGTTCAACCTCCTCGTGTAAATATGCAATTCCCCTAGCAACTCCAAACGAGATTTTGCGCCTTGCTTCCCACCCAAATTTCTTCCTGTTTTGCTCTCTACCTGATAATACACAAGACAACAGAAACCAAAATTCTCTAACATAAATCTACACTTCTTTTTCCCTGAATCACGTTCACAAAATAGTGTTTTACAACTTTGTACAGTGCTATAACTCAAGCCAAAGATCATCTACACTATATTAATGAGGATTAAAGACTCCAAATGTCATGGAAGAAGAGAGAAGATAAGGATTACTTACCAAGTAAGGTCTGCGCTATGCTGTTGTTTTTCATGTAATCATACACCAAGTATCTGCTGTCTCCATTGATGCAACACCCACGAAGAGTAACAAGATTTTCATGCTTGATGTTGGAAAGTGCTGCTAATTCTGCTACAAATTCCTTCTCCCCTCGCATTGATCCCAGCTCAACTGAAAGAACTTTGATTGCTGCAACAGTACCATCTTGAAGCCATCCCTAGATTGGTTCAGTCAACACACCCACAAAAAAAATCCAATTTCAGCACCAAGTCAAAAATTTAATAAACCCACATAACCTTAGCTAAAAATTCACATTTCTTAATATAGAAACATAGAAACAAGAAATCAAATAACCTTGTAGACATAACCAAAGCCACCACCTCCGATCTTGTTTGACTCAGAGAATCCATTGGTTGCAGCTTTCAATTCATTATAGTAGAAAACACGAAATTTGTTGCGAGTGCTTTCTCCACCTGGGTTACCATTTACACACATAAAAAGTCAATAAATAACATGAAAAAAATCTAGCAAAAACAAACAACAATTAAAATACTGATAAATATATATCAAAATTTGAACCATGAATTTAGATGCTTAGAGAATTAGAACTGGACTGACCTTGCCTGGTTGTATCAATAGCAGTCTCTGATGTACAAGAGAAGCACCCGATTCCGCAAAAAGGAAGCTTCATTTGATGAACTTTTTAGCTTGAATTTTGAAAACAACCCAAAAAAATCTTGGTGTCAGTTCCTTATCCGAAAGCATATACCAGTAGTTACATATGAATTAGGTCTTCAGAAAGCAGGTATGGCTAAGAGAATGAATCCAGTGGAGAAGAAAACATAAGAGAGTACTCAGTCATCAAGAAAGACCCGGCATGGATATGACTGCGAGCTTTGACTTTCCACAATTAGCTTTTCAAATTATTCCACCAGCAAATTTTTTTTTCCTTAAAAAAAATTCTTTAAAATTACTAATTATTACGTAATGAAAACTGTGTCTTTTTTGCCCACCAAACGAATATTAAAATAATTCTCACGGGTTCGGAGTCGGGTCTTACCCGGTTTGTTATTTAATTAACTTTATCATAAATAATTTTATCACTTAATTTATACAAATGAGTTTATTAGGCAAAATAATTTATTAATATTAATCTGAGATATTAAAAAAGTAGTAAATTTTAAAAACATGAAATTAAAAAATAATTAAAATACATTATATTTTTGTTTAATTTATTATTTTCCTATTTTTAATGTATATAAAAGAATTGATTTTATTTCAATACTTAGTTTACCCATCAATATTTAAGTAAAAATATATTATGTTCTAAATTTCAATACCTTAAATTCACTAATAAAAGATATTTATACTTATAATTACTACATAATCTTTCCTCATATATATATTTGTATACCTACCGCATAATCTAAATGATAATTTTCACCAGTATCATTTAATGATATTGTTTTTAAAATTTAAATGTTTTAATCGGTATAAATAGTAAGATATGGTTCAAAAATTATTATTTATTTATAAATTGACTAAGGTATGCATATATATATATGTGTATATATATATATAGCCCTCACAAATCAATGACAATGGTAAAAACGAACTAACACAGCAGAAGCGTGCTCAAATTCAAAACTAAAGTGCCGTCACTGACCGTTCATGTTTTCTCCACCGCATTTTCCCACCCGCTTCCCCTTGCACAAGTTGTGTATATAATATATACACACACCCACACATATATCCATATATATATCTACACATGTAATCTCCATGGAAGCAGACGACCTGCAGCAGAACAGACTCGTGTTTTGATTAACTAATTAATTAAGAACTCGTGCTTTAAAAATATTATAATTCTTTAAAATTTTTATTTAAATTAGAAAACTATATAAATAAATATTAAGTTAATGTATAAAATTGTTAAATTAATATAATTTAACAAACTCAAATTACCATAACTGCCTTCGATTTAATAATAAAATATCATTTTATTAGTATTAAATATTAATTAATCAATTTAATTTTTGTATAGTTTATGTATGTAATTCTCTATAATTTTAATAAAAAGTATAAGGCATATGTTATTCAATATAAGGGTATTATGATAAATTAAGATAGCGCCAGGGTTGAATTTAACAATTGGGAAATTAAGATATTTAGAAAATTATTTAAAAAAATAAAAAGAAATTTATTAAATTGACAATAATTTAGAAATTTAAATTTGGGTAAAGTGTTAAAATTCTCAAGTAGACGTAGTAAGATGGTAAAGATATGTTAGGTGAGATTCAACTACTCTAAAATATGATGCTTTTAGTTTTGAGTCATATTGTTTGATATTCTTTCAATTATCTATTTATCTTTCTTTAGGTAATAATTTGTGTCGAAGCTAGTTTATTATTACTCGTATATTTGTAGGTTCAACAAATATTGAGGAAAAGATAGAATCTTCAACTTTTGAAGAATATTTTACCATAAGACCAATAGGAGTGTTTATTAATTCAGAATTGGATCAGACCAAAAATTAAATTAGAGAAAATATTTGAACCAAAAAAATCATAATGTTTCTATTTTAATCTAAACTGAACATGTTTAGTTTGAATCGAATTGAAGTCATTTTTCAAGTACATTGTTAATGAAATTGATAAAACAAATAAAAATTTATTAATATCAAATACGTAATTCAGATTTTCTATTTCTTATTTTGAAATTTTGGGTTTGAACCATACCAAACTGAAATTTTTAGTCTTCCTGCATTTGAACCAAAGATTAACCAAATTATAAATGTTTGATTCAACTTGATCCAATTAGTCTTTTTTGGTCTAGTTTTCAGTTTGGATTGAAATTCAAACACTCTTAAATAAAAATAAAGGCCTCGCAAATAATAATGCTCAGACTAAAATTTTTATGAACATGGAGAATGGTTTTTAAATATTAGAAACTCATAGAGAATATAACAATGAGGATAAACATAAAGCACAAGTCATCACGCTTTGGACTTAAAACAAGTATAGCTTGATCTCTGTATCTATGAGAGCCAAAGAAGTTTGTGACAAGCTAGAAGTGATGCTTGAAGCAACTTCAAGTAAATGTGTATAAAACTGAAATTACTTGTTTATACTATGAATTACTTAAGATACAATCTAAAAAAAATATAAATAACTTACTCACTAGATTCACAAAAGTAGTGAATAGTCTAAAACTTTTAAAAATAAATGGAGGTACTCCTTGTAAAAAGTGTTATAATTACTACCCAAAAGCATGGTAGCCAAAAGTGATTGTCATCTAAAAAGCTAGAGATCTTCATAACATGACTATAGACGAGCTTTACAAATCACTTGAATCATATAGTAATTATAAGTCAAGATGATCAATGAAAGCAACTCCGACATGAAATAAATGAATCTTTGCTTGATGATGGATAATGAAATGCAATATAAGTATATCATCTGGTATCAAAGACTATATTTTATCTGATGAACTATATCGTTTATGTGATGAATTATTAAATAAAGAGTTTAAAACATTGCATATTGCTTCTAAAAAAGAATTAAAATCTTTTGAAAATAAACTTGAAATTTTCAAGAAAGAAAAGATTGAATTGAAGACTTTTAAATTCGTTCATTCAAGAAGAAAAATGAAATTTTCAAAGAAAAAAATTCTTTAAATTCTCAAATTGAAGAATTAAAGAAAGCTTCTTATAAATAAATAATAGAAGAGGTAACCGTATATATCCTTTTATGGAAGAAAGGCAACATATTATATATTTGAATACAGAAGATTAAGACATTATTCTTGCTAAAGTTTTATGAGAAAGAATGATTATCAATATGCTAAAATGGTACTTGAACTAGAGGGTACAAATGTTGTTAACCTCCAATAGAAATGAAGGTTAATTCTAGTAATTAAGTGGATGACTCACTAACTTGATGTTTTATTTTTTCTCATTTACTCATAATGGTTGAAACCAAATGAAATGACACAAAAAATAATAGATAACGGTTATAAAAGAAAATGTACCTTGATGGAGTGCATAACCTTAAGATAAATTATAGAATTAT